TAATTCAGTTTGATTTGGCTTGATTTGATTTCTGTGTGCCGGCGGAGAGAATGTTTCTTAAGAAAAGGTAAGTATTTCAAAAAGTATTTTGAAAAGAGAAAAACAAACTCAACACGTCATAAAGTTGGGAAGCAGCAAGGCAGCAGTAGTTGAATCCAGATCACAGAACAATGATCTTTGCTTTCACCATATGAAAATATATAATATAAGTAGATATATCTATCAAAGACATCACATTTAAAATCTCCAGCTTTCCTACAAAGAAAATTCAAGGCCTTGGTGACCTTATTGATAAATTAGAAACATTTTAAGAACAAAATTTTAATTCTATACAAAGTTGAAAAAAGGGAAGAAAAAAGAATACGTCATTATCCATACATCAAAATTAAACAATAACATAACAAGGAAAAAGAAATAGAATCTACAGACGAATGTTCCTTAGGAGCCTGTACAAAAGTCTTAACCAAATTTTGACAGTATATAAAAGGTAATACAGTGGTTCTTGACCTGTGGGTTGTGACCCCTGTAAGGGGTTGCATGATCCTTTCACAGGGCTCACATATCAGATACACTGCATATCATATATTTACATTACAATTCATAACAGTATCAAAATTACAACAGAAATACTGTTATGGTTTGGGGTCACCACAGCATGAGGAACTGTATTGAAGGGATATAGCATTAAGAAGGTTGAGAACCGCTGAGATAATATATCATAAATAAATGGGGTTTATCACAAGAATGCCAGGCAGGTTTAACAAAAGAAAAAAAATCAATTGATATAAATGAACTACAAAGAAGGCTGTAAAATTCTTTGAATATTGAAAAAGCAGGAGACAAAATGCAGCATTTATCCCTCACCCTTGACTCTGAGGAAAGGCTTTCTCAGATGTGTATGGAAAATGAGGAATTGTCTTCAGTCACACAAAGGACACCACTAAACACCTAAGCTATGGTAAAACAATGCCCCCTGTGAAAAGCTGGGTGTACTCTCCCTAACATCACATTGGCCCATTCGATGTGGAATAGATGAGGCCATCACTAAATTCAAACTCCTGGCAGACTCTTTTGTTAAAGTTTACAAATGTGTACTAAACATTACTTTAAAAATCAAATGATTTTGTTTGTTTGTTTGTTTTTTCAAGACAGGGTTCTCTGTGTAGCTAGGCCGTCCTGGAACTCACTCTGTAGACCAGGCTGGCCTTGAACTCGCAGAGCTGCCTCCTGAGTGAAACCAAGCCTACTTTGAAAAAAAAAAAACTGAGCCAAACAAAATACTCAGCCCATCTTTTCAAGAATCATGAAACTGCAGTACTAGAGACTGTGGGATATTGGTACAATGTCACAAATAAGTCAATAGAACAGGATTGAGATCTAGATATTTCTAGATCGACCCACAAATAGTTAAGTTGGAAAGTAATTCAATGGAGAAAAAAGTATTCAGTAAAAAATAAAACAAAATAGCTAAAAGCAAATTATGGGAAAACAAACTGATTTCCACACATATAACAGGTAAACCAATTTTATACAATTAAAAAGTAAAATGTCCATTTCTCATTCTTATTCCTACCAGAAGCCCTAACTAGTTCAGCCAGGAAAACTTTTAAAGTCATACTTCCTAGGGGAAAAAAAACTACCTTTATTTCACAGTTAGCACAATTCCTAATTGTCCATATAAAGAATTAGAAAGAATCAAAAATTAATTAATACATGAGCTTAGCAAAGTCTGAGGACATAAGATTAATGTATATAGGTCAATTGTGTTCCTATATACCAGAAACAAACACCTGGAATTTTATTTAAAAATTATTTTTCCAGTGCTGGGAATTTAACCCAGGAAAACACTCTACCACTAAACTGCATCCTTACTCCTGGAATTTGTTTAAATAATATCAAAATCATTAGGTACAGAGGAAAAAATAATAAAACATGAAGGATTTGTATGTTGAAAGACAAACACTGATAAATAAAGATTGGAACAAATGGAAAGATATGCAGTGTCCATAGACTCAATACTGTTAAGATGTCAGTTACCCCAGTTTATCTGGAGATCAAACACAGTTCCACTCAAACTCCCAACAAAGGTTTTTGCTGTTGCTGTTTTCAAGACAGGGTTTCACGGTGTTTCCCTTGCCTGTCCTTGAATACACTGGGCTGGCCTTGAACTCACAGAGATCCTCTTGCCTCTGCCTCCTGAGTGCTGGGATTAAAGGTGTGCTTTTGTATGTGTGTTTTGCCTGTTTGTCTGTCTGCAGCACTTGTGTGCCCGGGTACTTAGGCAGTTGTAAGCCTGTATACTGCCGTGTGAGTGCTGGGAATTAAACCCAGGTCTTCTGCAAGGACAGCTAATGCCCTTAACCTCTAAGCCATCTCTCCATTTTCAGTAAAGGTTTTTTGAATGGAATAACACTGATTGTAAAACCTGAGTGTAAAGACAGGAGACAGAATAGAGGAGCAATGGGAAGACTTGCATCCCTCAGTTTCAAGACCAACTATAAAGACCCAGAATCAACACATTGCAGTGCTAGTGGGAGAGAGGAGTAGTCAGTCAGGAAACTGATCTATGCAGGCACAGTCACGTGACTAATTATTGCTGTGGTCTGAAGGTGTGTGTGCCCCAATTTCACATGGGACGTTTTATTCTCAAGGCAACGATCTTAGAGAAATTGACCTATACTTGTACAGTCACGTGACTAATTATTGTTGTGGTCTGAATATGTGTGTGCTGCAAAGCTCACGTGTGACCTGTTATCCTCAAGACAATGGTCTTAGCTTGGACTTCCAGGAAATGACTGGGTCCTGGTAGTGAAACTCTCAGTAAGAAGATTAACCCCTTACGAAACAGGCCCAAGTGAGCATTGCCCCTTTGAATGGGCATCATGTATAAGCCACGCAACCTGCAGTACCTTGTTTGGGAGCCTTTAAAGAATAAGGAACTGATGAAGATGTGAGAACAATTGAGTGGAGATGAAGGTGGATCTTTAACAATGGAGACAGAATGCTTGAAACAAAAGCATTTAAAAATTAACTTCAACTTACATTTCATACCTCATAAAATTTCTTTCAAGTTGAATTGTATATCTAAATGCAAAATATAGAACTAGAAAATTTCAGAAGAAAATATAGGAGAAAATCTACATGAGCCTACGTTTGAAGAACTTTTAGATATAACAGTAAGTATTTAATCTGTATAAAAACAAATTGATACATTGAATTGTATCAAAGGTACAAGGTTGAATTGTATCAAAGACATTCACTCTAGCAAAGACACCAAGGGGGAGAAGGAATGCCCTTACTTGTCTCAGGAGAGTCCCTCTCCTTCCAGCCTGACAGGTGGCTCATGCCTCCTCTCCAGGGTACTTGAGCTGAACCTCCGGTCCTCCAACTCTGCTGGCCCTGACAGACGTCTAAACTGCGGGTGCAGCACACGCTTTTGCTGCTTCACAACTTTCCTTCTGCTTTATCTCGCTGATCTTACTGAGCGGCCCATGGGCCAATGCAAGTTCTCAATTTATTTCTTCTATAAAGCCCTCATGAAGGGGACAGAATGTCTTACACTGACTCTGATATCCTGATATCTAACCTCTTAGGCTCTCAGTAAAAAAAAAAAAAAAAAAAAAAAAAAAAAAAAAAAAAAAAAAAAACTAAGAGTGATAGTGCTGTCCATCCTCCTGTGAGAGCAAACTGACGACAGAAGTGCCTGAGAAGAGACAGGGTGGTGCAGTAATTAGCGTTTATACTTTCCGCAACGGGCACAGACTTGTTTTACCTCTGAACGGCTGCCCATCGGTGCACCAAAGATGAAAATGCATACCCTGTGAACTAGAACCTGCATTCCTAAGTCTGACACCCTAAAGAAACGTACACTTCTGTTCTTCAACAAAAGGAACTACTTAGATTTTGAAAAACAGAATCTAGGTACAAATTCACAATAAAGTGGATGAGATAATTGTGCTCCTTTTCTGCAATGGGATAGTCTACAGAAATGAGATTGAAAAGCTGAACTACATATGATAACAGGCAGAATTCACACTATAAAACTGAAGTTTAAAAGACAGACATAAGAAATCCATTATGAATAATTCTGCTTACATAAAAATTGAAAACAAGGAATACAAGCCCAATTACTCCTTGGAATACAGGTACTCAAACCAACATTCTTCAGCTAAGGGCATTCCTGGAAATTCTGGTAAGTGGAAGTCCTACCATTCTGCTCTGAAGAGAATGACACAGCATCACGTATACAACGGGAAACAATCCTGCCTGATGTACCTTAGACGGTGATGTTTATCTTCTTAAATAAGAATCACTCTGTCTTATTACTAAGGAAAGAATGCCTTTAAAAAAAAAAAAGCAGTTTTGGATTATGAATTGTAGTTCAAGCCATACAATTGTCACTCTGAGCCACAAGAGGGCAGCAATTACAAGGCACAGTTGGGAAGACAGAATGAAAAACTTGTATTAATTAAGTAGAGGAGTGGTAAAACACACTGATTTTATAAACAGAGCATCCCCTCCAAAAATAAAGAATTTTAAAATCATTCTAATTTTTAATTCATAATTTTAAATGTGAAAAGTGAAATAAATGTCCCATGTCAGAAACTTCTATTTTCCTTCCGCCGTAATAATTTACAAGTTGCCCAAAGCGTTACACAATCAGATGAGCTATCATTTAACTTACGTGACTGAAGCATCAGTGCCACAATACACTAAAACTCCATAGTCCTCATAGCCATATACCCTTTTGTTGTTATTTAAAACACTTGCAATTTTGTTTAACTATATCACATTTGCTGGGTATAGTTGAGCACATATTTAATCCCAGCAGGGAGACAGATGGATCTCAGAGGCCAGTCTACTCTACATAGTGAGTTGCAGGGCACCCAGGGATAAATGTATTTCCTATCCTAGATTCCAAAGACAACCCCCACAACAACAGTGTCTTTCTTGTGTCCTCACCAAGCCCATCCGTCCTGTAAAGCTCTTCCAGGACTTACGTTCTAGAGCATTGTAAAGCAGCTCAAAGTCTTCATTCGTCTTAGGGTTGTGCCTGCGGTAGTAGTCCATCCGCAGCCATTCTTCCTTCTCTCTGATCTTCTTGAGCTCTTGCTCTGCTTCCCATTCCAACCTCTTTTTCTTTTGTTGTCTTAAGCTTTCCACATAGCGCTTAGCATGCCATTGCCGGTAGCGTGTCTGTATCACTATCACCTGTGTTTAAATCAAAGGAAATAAAGTGTCACTGACTGGTTAACCAGACATAGAAAAAGGCAACAACCATTGTTTCCATTCAAATTCTATAACAAAACAATACTGGCAGTCTGGTTTTAATTCTCTCTGAGACATTATTAGGCAAAACAATGTAAAATCTATTAATAACGTGCCATTATTTAAATATGTACCACTTTGGGGTATGTGCCCAAAGGATACTCAATAGTGCCACAAGGACATGTGCTCAACTATGTCCATAACAGCACAATTTGTCATAGCCAGAACCTGAAAACAAGCTAAATGCTCCTCAACCAAACAATGGATAAAGAAAATGAAACATTTACACAATGGAGTACTACACAGCAGAAAAAAATGACATCTTGAAATTTGCAGGCAAATGGATGAATCTAGAAAACATAATATTGAGTGAGGTAAGCCAAACTGAGAAAGATAAATGTAATATGTAATCACTCATAAGTGGATTTTAGACATAAAGTAAAGAAAACCCAGCCTACAATTCACAATCCCAGAGAACAGTGAAAACAAAGAGGATCCTAAAAGAGACATACATGGATCTAATCTACATGGGGAATAGAAAAACACAAAATCTCCTGAGTAAATTTGGAGAGTGGAAATCCTGTGAGAAGTTAGAAGAAGAGAGTAGAGAAAGGGAGGAGAGTGGAGAAAAATATATAGCACAATAAAAACTATAAAAACAATAAAAACCCCTTGCCACATAATAGTCAAAACACTAAACATACAGAACAAAGAAAGAATATTAAAAGCTGCAAAGGAAAAAGACCAAGTAACATATAAAGGAAGATCTATCAGAATTGTACCTGTCTTCTCAATGGAGACTCTAAAGACCAGAAGAGACTGAACAGACCTTCTGCAAACTTTAAGATACCATGAATGCTAGCAAAAGTTTCAATCACCATAAAGGTAGGAAACAAGATATTTTATGCTACAGTCAAATTTAATTAATATCTAGCCATAAACTGAGATCTATAGAAGGTACCAGAAGGAAAACCCCAACTCAAAGAAGTTAACTGCATTCATAAAACACATGCAATAGATATTTCCACACAAGAATGAAACACACAGAGAGAGGCACAACAACAATAACAGGAATTAACAATTACCAGTTATCAAAATCTCTCAGTATCTGAGCATGAGTCTGGGACCTCTGAGGGAGTAAGCCTGATCCAGGTCCTCTGTGGTTCTGGGCACACCCGAGCCTGGGAACTCCAAGGCAGTAGGCAGGAGTCAGAGACCTTTGCAGGACCAACTCCAAGCCAGGGACTTCTGCAGGAGTGGAACCAGACCAGGATTTACAGAAACCGATCAAGGCGAGTAACCTAAACTAAAGTAGGTCCGAAGCAATGAATTCCACCTTGAGCTGGAGCAGGATTGAGGGAACAAATTCCACAGAAGTAGGACTAAACCAGCTACCTAGGCTGGAGTGGTCCTATGGGAGTGGAAGCTGGGAGCCAGTCTAGTCCTGGGACACTGGCAGACAAGGATTGAGCCAGAGACCTGGTCCAGAAATAGCAAACTCCACCAGAACAGGTACAGGGGAGTAACCACAGAGTGAGTGAGCCAGAGCCAGAGACTGCTGAGGGTCTGGACATGAATCTGGGACCTTCAAGGGAGTAGACCTAAGCAAGAACCCCTGTGCGTTTGAGCATGAGTCTAGGACCTCCCATGAACTAGGCCTGAGCCAGGATCTCTGTGGGTCCAGGCATTGGATTGGGACATCAAAGGGAATAGGCAGGAACCTGGAACTTCTGCAGGTCTGAGCATGAGTCTGGGACCTCTGAGGGAGTAAGCCTGAGCCAGGTCCTTTACAGTTTCTGGGAGCATCTGAGTCTGGGAACTCCAAGGCAGTAGACCAGAGCCAGAAACCTTTGCAGGACCAACTCCAAGCCAGGGACTTCTGCAGGGAGGAATCCAGACCACGATTTACATAAACAGGGCAAAGTTGGTAACCTAGGCCAAAGTAGGCCTGAGACAGCAAACTTGAAAGGATCAGGGCAAAGCCCAGGAGCACTGAGCTATCTCCAGGAACACCAAGTAACCAATGGGGTAACTAGAACAGTGACACTGACTGTACTACGAGGAACAACCATCTGAGATTTGGATTTACTGGCACCTAGAATATTAATCAGCAGAATCTCAAACAGCCCCAAGGGGAAAAAGATGAGTAAAAAAGGTAAGAATACACACAACACCACGGAGAGTAACACAACACCAGTAAAACCTAAAGACCCTACAACAGCAAAACTTGAACAACCAAATATAGATGAAGCAGAAGAAAATGATCTAAAAAATAACTTCAAGAGAAAGTTTGAAACTCTTAAACGTGAAATGATAAATTCCCTCAAAGAAATGGAGGAAAAAAAAAATAAAAAATTAGAAGACATCAGCAAATCCCTTAACAAAGACCAGGAAAAAGCAATCAAACATATGAAAGAAACTATTCAAGACTTGAAAACTGAACTAGAGACAATAAAGAAAACATAAGCAGAGGAAATTATAGAAAAAGAAATCATGAGAAAATGATCAGGAACCACAAACTCAAGCATGAACAGCAGAATACAAGAGATGGAAGAGAGACTCTCAAGTGCTAAAGATACAATAGAGGAAATAGACTCATCAGTTAAAGAAAACATTAAATCTAAGAAAAGCTTAACACAAAATATACAGGAAATATGGGACACCATGAAAAGGCCAAATCTTAGAATAATAGGTATAGAAGAAGGAGATGAAGTTCAACTCGAAAGCACAGAAAATATATTTAATAAAATCATAGAAGAAAACTTTCGTTACCTAAAGAAAGATATGCCTATGAAGATACAAGAAGCTTACAGAACACCAAATAGACTGGATCCAAAAAAAAGTCCTCTTGACACATAATAATCAAAACACTAAACATACAGAGTAAAGAAAGAATATTAAGAGCTGAAAAGGAAAAAGGCCAAGTAACATATTAAAGGTAGATCTATCAGAATTATACCTGACTTCTAATTGGAGACAATGAAAGCCAGAAGGCCATGGTCAAGCATTATGCACACATTAAGAGACCACGAATGCCAGCCCAGACTACTATACCCAGCAAAACTTTCAATCACCACAGAAGGACATAACAAGATATTCCATGACAAAACTAGATCTCACCAATACCTAGCCACAAACCCAGCCTTACACAAAATACTAGAAGGAGAACTCCAACCCAAGGAAGTTGGCTACATCAACAAAAACACAGACAATTGATAATCTCATAGCAGCAAATCCCAAAGAAGGGTAAAATGCACAAATTAACAACACCAACAATGAAAACTAAATTAACAAGAGATAGCAATTGCTGGTCATTAATATCCCTTAATGTACATGGACTCAACTCACCTATAAAAAGCCAAAAGCTAAAAGATTGGATATGAAAAAAAGAATCTATCCTCCTTCTACATACAAGAAACACATCTCAACCTCAAAGACAGACATCATTTCAGAGTAAAGGGTTGGGAAAAAATATTCCAATCAAAAGGACCTAAAAAAGAAGTGGGTGTAGCTATCCTAATATCTAACAAAAAAGACTTCAAGCTAAAATCAGTCAAAAGAGACAAAGAAGGTCATTTTATATTAGTCACAGGAAAAATCCATCAAAAGGGAATCTCAATACTGAACATCTATGCTCCAAATACAAGGGCACCCTCATCTGTAAAAGAAACAAAGTACCCAAATTTATGGGACACAATGAAAGCAGTGTTAAGAGGAAAGCTCATACCACTAAATGCCTACATAAAGAAGCTGGAAAAAATCCACACTAGTGAGTTAACAAAACATTTGAGAACTTTAGAACAAAAAAGAAAAAGAAAACTCGCATAAGAGAACTAGATGACAGGAAATATTCAAATTGAGAGCTGAAATTAACAAAATAGAAACAAAGAAAACAATACAAAGAATCAATGAGACAAAGAGTAGGTTCTTCGAGAAAATCAACAAAATAGACAAACCTTTATCCAAAAAAAAAAAAAAGACAAAGAGAGAATAACAAATTAACAAGAATCAGAAATGAAAAGGGGCACATTGGGGCTGGAGAGATGGCTCAGAGGTTAAGAGCATTGCCTGCTCTTCTAAAGGTCCTGAGTTCAATTCCCAGCAACCACATGGTGGCTCACAACCATCTGTAATGGGGTCTCGTGCCCTCTTCTGGCCTGAAGGCATACACACAGACGGAATATTGTATACATAATAAAGAAATAAATATTAAAAAAAGGGGGCACATAACAGCAGACATGGAGAAAATACACATGTACCCACTCATAGGTGGTTTTTAAACATAAAGTAAAGAAAACCAGCCTACAAACCACAATCCCAGAGAACTTAGACAATGATGAGGACCCTAAGAGAGACATACATAGATCTAATCTACATGGGAAGTAGAAAAAGACAAGATCTCCTGAGTAAATTGGGAGCATAGGGACCTTGGGTGAGGGCCAAAGGAGGAGGAGAGAGGCGGGGAGGGGGGCAGAAAGAAATGTAGAGGAAAAATGAAAATTTAAAAAAGAGGGCTGGAGAGATGGCTCAGAGGTTAAGAACACTGACTGCTCTTCCAAAGGTCCTGAGTTCAATTTCCGGCAACCACATGGTGGCTCACAACCATCTGTAATGGGGTCTGGTGCCCTCTTCTGGACTGCAGGCATACACACAGACAGAATGTTGTATTGTATAAATAAATATTTTAAAAAAAAAGAAAATTTAAAAAAAGAGGGAAAAAATTCTCAATATCAATGGACTTAATCTGCCAATAAAACGATACAGAGTAACAGAATGGACATGAAAACAGGATCCATCCTTCTGCTGTATACAAGAAACACACCTCAACATCAAAGACAGACATTACCTCAGAATAAAGGGTTTGAAAAAGATTTTCCAATCAAATAGACCTAAGAAGCAAGATGGTGTGGCCATCCTAATGTCTTACAAATAGACTTCAACAC